CCCCCCCCCCCCCCACACATATATATATATATATATATATATATATATATATATATATATATATTACCTGCCTAATTGTTTTTTATCGTAGTTAACCATTTGAGCATGTAATCTTGTTTCTTTGGCAACCACATTAAAAACCTTACCCATTTGTTTGAATTAACCATCTATTTGAACATTTTCACCTCTTATGAGCACTTGAACTGTTACGAACTTTGTAAAAGTTAAAGTGTGGGGTGGTTGGTTTGGCTTTTGAGTAGAACTAATAAAATAAGAAGAAAGGTGCACTATTTTAAAAAAGTAAGAGCCACTTGAAATGAAAAAAAAATGAAAAAAATAGTTGTATTGTTGTGCAAATACTCCTCGATAAGTGGTGACTCTTGATGTAATTGTGCTTAAAGAAGTAGGGAGTTAATGTATATTAATGTAAAGGTGGAGTTATGGTTTGACATAAGTGTGGGGTTTGAAAGGTAAAGTGTATGCATTAAAGTGTTTAGGGAGGTGTAGTCACTCTTATATCCAAATGTATCATACCCGTCCCGCAGCCTACATTACAACCAATTAAAGCCCTACTTGATGCTAGACTGGATGGACTCGATTAGTAGAGTAGTACACTATGGGCAAGCCTATGGTACGTCTTTTGTGGCATATGGATGTTATTTCTGAGAGTGAGTGAATGCTTGAGTTCCTAATTGTTCTTAATTTTATTGTGTGTGGAACTACTCTCTTTTGTTGTGTGAGGGCACTTGATTCATGAAGGAAAGGTAGTGTCATTGACCTCTATGTTAGAGTAAGTGGGTGAATTGTGAATAATGCGTGGTACTTGTGAGTCAAATCTTGAGGTGAAGATTTACACTCGTGTGCTTAGTCTATTTTAAATATTCTTTTCGTGATGAGTTAGGAGAATTATTTAAAAATGTCGTGTCTATATAAAGTGCAGTTTGATTACTCGAGGACGAGCAATGGTTTAGTTTGATTGATTGAGGGCGAGCAATGGTTTAAGTGTGGGGTGTTGATGGTAGGCTATAATCTCGTATTTTTAGTCGCTTATTACACTCTAATTTACTATATTTTTATTGAGTTTGAGCTTTAATCGCTAGTGTTTTGCACTAATTACATGTTTTATGCCTTGTAGGAGTGATTCCGAGCTACGTAGATGTTATGGAACGAATTCGAGCTATTTGGAGCTTTGAAGTCTGAGTAAAAGCCCAAAGGATTAAGCCGGGATCGCGTTCGGGGGTCGAGAACCATGTCTGAACTTCAAATATAAAGCAGAAAGGAAGACTCTGAGAATAATCCACAGCCACGGCGCGTGGCGCACTGTGGCTGCCTATTTTGCTGCTGCCTCGGAATTGCAAGGCTCCTGGTAAAGTCCACTACCACCTCGCATGGCGCGTCGTCCCATGCGGAACGCCTGTGTATTTTTTACATAGTATTTTTCTTATTTCACGCAGGAGAAGGTGGTTTCGTTTGGGCCCGACCCTACTTGGTATAAATACATGTATAAACATTTTTAGAGCAACTTTTGACCAAGGGAGAGCACAGAGCTGCCGTGGAGGCCGGGTTTCATCTTTCTTCCATAAAACTTAGTAATTTTTATGTTTTTTTTGTATGATTTGTTGTTTGGCTACCATGTCTATGTGGAGCCAAACTTCACGTTCTAGGGTTGTGGTTCTTTCACAACTATTGTTATTCGAATATTGATTTTGATTTTTTAGTTTATCATATTAGTTTATTTATTCAATCTTGCGCTTAATTATTTAATTGTTTAGTCACCAATTGAATACTATCTACGAAAGAATTGAACTCAAAAGTGGGAATTCTAGATTGCACATAGGATTGAGTAGAGCAAGGTCTTTAACCTGGGCATCGGGGAACGGATTCGCGGTTAGGATAGACATATACCTAATCGCCTTTCTTGGTTGATTTACAGGAATTATAAACGTGCTCTTGTTAGTTCTAATTCCATAGACATATAGGCGTTAGGTTAGCTTGAATAGGCGAGTAAGAACTCGACAAATTCTTATGAGCAATATTAACCTTGTTAACCAATAAACTAGATAAATTAGTTTGTCAATTCAATTGAAGGATACAATAAGAATATTAGATAGCTCATAACCCTAGATCTTTTTCATCACATTGATAATATAAAAGTCGTCTCTTCCTCTGTTTAAAGTTCATTAGTTATTTTCTTTTTAGTTTAATTACTTTAGCATCACTACTTTTGGATTTAATCCTTGTTTAGATAATTAGGATAGTCTAATTTAGTTAATAGTTAATCACAAGTCCTCGTGGGTTCGACAACCGACTTTTAGTCACTTTATTACTTGACAACCGCGTATACTTCCGTGTGCATTTGGCCGCAACAACGCCTTCTATCTCGGTGAACAATGTTCCACTGATTAGGCGGGGACAGGATTCGATCCTGCAATCTTCAGGTCATGAGCCTGATGAGTTGACCAATTCTTGTACCCCGCATTCTCTTTCGAGCTCCGAAAACCAAGGTTCGACTTGCATCTATTAAGCATATAGTCCGAGTAGCATGATTGGAGCTTCTTCTGGTCAGAAGAAATTTTTTCTCGTACTCTTTCGTAATATAAATATTGTTAAGAACTCTCCGGCATGAAAACAAAAAAGTTTGTAATGCTGAACTGAACTCCCAATAATCATAGATGAGAGAATTTGTTATCCCATTGAAATATATTTCAATTTAATATTCGGACTTGGAAGCAAGATCTTTACCCGGCTTAACCACTAATTTATTCTCAATCATTTACTGAAAATTGCATTTGATCGGTCTGCTGTCAAATTCATACATGTAACACATTCAAGTAGCTCCATTGTAATTTTGTTGAAGCATCTATGGAGAATTGACTTAAGCTGCTTTGGTCCTTTCTTGGTCAACTATAAGGTGTTAACTTCATGAGGTAATTTCACTAGCTTTTCCATTCTTGGATCTTGGTTTTCCTAAGTTATAAAGGGGATAACATAAAATTAAATGGTTTAATGGTGAAGCATCATCTATGAAATTCTAAAAAATGAAAAGGTAAAGCGACTATCTAATTTAAAAGTTTAAATTGTTAGATATCCATTTTTAATTGTATTTAATTATGATTTGAACATATGCTAATTCACGTGCAAATTTGATTCTTTTTCCGCGTCACACTAAGTAAAGCACGTGAAAGATTTTATCGACGTTTGTATAACTCAAACTCAAGAATTCAATGTGCTAATTTGATAGAGTAACAATAATTTTACCACTATCACTCATTAGTTCTTTTTGTAGTCTAATTATTCATACTATCCGTTATAATTTAAATGAGAAAATTTGATTAGATAAAAATTTAAGAAAAAAAGGACGAAAAGTTTTTTGAAATTGTAAGCTTACATGTAATGAGATTCTTGTATTTATAAAAGCATATCATTAAGGATTAATAAAAAAATTAATATTAAATTATTTTAAATATCAAAGATTTTTCACTCTTTATGAAATGGACTAAAAAATAAAATGGCACCACATAAAATGAAATGAGGACAGTATATTATTAAAACTTACCTTTAATAAAAACTTAAGATATGCATAAGTGCACGAAGTTCAACCAAAATTTTTGTAAATTTGGCTCTGGCAAGTCAAATTTCAGGCAAAATGCCCAAAGTTTTAGCCCTGCCAAGGCCAAACTTTAGACGCGAATTTTTACAACTTTAGTCACGTATTGTCTGAAGTTGTTTCGAAATGGTTAAACTTGCAAAATTTTATATACTGCGACTATGATTTAAATTATAATCCCAAAATTGACTATCTGTGCACTTGCCCCCAATTGATAAATTGCGGCCCGAAGCCCAAATTCTTGCTCCAATTCTCTTTGCGCAAGTCGCACGTTCTCTTCTCCCTCTCTGCCGTTAAACTTGCAGCCGTCGGTGCTCTTTCTGCTGCAAAACTCTTCAAAATTCTGTATCTCTGACCCAATAAAATTGTATGTATTTCTCTTTCTATCTACAGATAATTTCATAATTTCATGTTTTTGCAATAATTTTAATCGTGAAAGCACTAATATTTGTGGATTCGATTCTAATGTTGCATCTGTTCCCATTGTTTAAATTAAAGCCTCAATTTTGATATCATAGTTGTTAACTGACTGCTATATTAACGTGCTCCAAAAATACACTAAAAAAGGCTCCAACTAATTTGAAATGGAACCCTGCTGCTTTGTTTTCTCTACTTTTTACTTTAAATAACACTCTGCAATGTGCTATTTTTGGCTTCAATTATTATTTTTTGAATGATAATTTTATAATTGTGATTGATCTAGATGGCACTAAGAGGTGTTTGGCAGCTAAAGAAGCTGGTAGTGAGCTATTGCAATTGGGGTGGCAGTAGCAGAGGAATAAGGTATCATCCTATTTTCTTTTTAGTCTGCTTAAGAAAAAATGACCTCTTTCTAAATTTTGAAACAATGTAACTTAAGCTTTTGTTGTCACACAAATGTTATGAAATGTTTAGGATCAATAGTTCAAAAGGTCTTCATTTCTTTTTTAAACTCGTGCCCAGTCAAATTGGTATACATAAGTTGGATCGAGGGAATATGTATTTATAGGTCTGTTACATTCAATTTGAATCATAATGAGACTGTTTCTACTGGAGATTGTCGAGTTCCATGTAAAATGAAGTGAGAAAGGATTATGCAAGAACTTGAACTTTTAGAAAATCAATACTTTAGTTCAACTCTTCTAAGGAATGTGGCAATTGCAGATAATGTAATTGCAATTTGAAGCAAAAACTGGAAGTTACTCCTAAAAATAAAGAGAAAAGAAAGAGGTTTATACTTTACATCATTTCAGCCTTGACAACGCGTCTTTATGGATAATTATTCCACCTTCGCAAATTTAGAAGTGTTTCACGCGTATCTTTATGCATATCAATTTAATAACCTCTTCTGATCTTTGTTGTCTTATAATTTTTGTTGCTAGTGAAATTTGGTCAACCGAAATGGGAATGAATGGAGCATTTTTAGTTCTTTGATATGTTGGATGGATTGAGTATTATAATGTTATTAGTCTGACTTTTATTTGAATTTCTTTTTCAGACCTAATCGGAATATTGGCACAATCTCGATATAACAAGAAAGTTTGTTTTTTCATGTGGAAATCAATTAAGAAGCATTACTGCCTATATTTTGGTTTGTGTTAATTGTTATTTGTCTGGAGACATCTGACATGGTATATTGTTGATGGGCCATACTGCAATTTTAAATATGAATCCTATTTGAAGTTTAAACATGTAGGAATTGTAATTAAAGGAAAATACTGACTCTTAATTGTTAAACAAAATGGGTTAACAATTATTCATCGGACTTTTAGCAGAAAAGAGGAAAAAGAATGGGCTTCTAGATTTCGAATGATTGAGGTAGAGGAATATATATAACAGTGGTTCTAACTTCTATGGTATATGTTAAGGTATGTATCTTCCATTTCAGGGCATTCATGGAGTCTGAATTGCCAGCATTCAAGGAGCAAAATCCACAGCTTGAGGTGGTCACTGAACTCAATCGTGGTCAACATCCTTTCTTGAAGGGATTATACAGTAAGACCTCTCAACGTTCTCTCAATTCTGTGCTGTAAAAAAAGTATTGTGTTTGAGAGGGATGCATGTAAGAAAATTAATTAGCAAGGGTAGTGTCAGTTGACTTATGCATATGGGGCTCAATGGAACAGGACTGACTCAAAATCACGCATGAGGCTCAGTATTTCTCTCTTCAACTATGTCTCGATAGATGTAAAAGAAGGAGTCAGTCACACTGATTCAGTGAGAGATAACATCGTTCATGGCATGTTTGGGATAATAACTTCAAAACAAGGCTCATGCATGTATCTTGTCAAAAAACTTATAATTTCACATGCAAGTATTATCTTCTACGAAACTATATTCCTAGCAATGCCACGAATGGTATTATCTCTCACTTGGTAGATATGACTGACTCCTTATTTCATATCTTTCCAGACATAGCTGAAGACAGAGATACTGAGTCTCACGAGTAATTACCTTATCAGAAAAAAAAGGTCTCAGGAGTAATTTAGAGATCGAACGTAGTCCACTGAGCCCCATATTGTCCGTTGAGGCATGATTTGTTATGTTTGAGTTTTGTTAATCATTTGTATACACTTGTGATAAAATTCTAGATGCTCCATACATGTAACGTGTTTGTTATGTAATTAATGTATTGTTATCTTAGCTTAGACGTGTTTTATGTGTTTGTCACTATGAATGACCTCTATGACTAGTAAGCAGTTGCATTAAGACTCATTATGTTAGGATGGAGTTTGTCCAGCTCTAGGGTAACTTCTGCCTAAAATTCCATTGATGGGTTAGACTCTCGACGACATGTTAAGCCCTTCTAAGTGACGGTCATGGTTTCCTAGTTGGTTTATCACACCTGGCCCAAAGATTGTGGCTCTGAACCATCTTTATCTCCACAAAGGTTTACTGCCTATCATCATGGACAAGGGAGCTGCCTATGCATGCCCACTTCCCTTCCTAGAGTAATACTCTCCTTCCCTGCAGAGTCCCTTCTATATATCATACTCATTTTGGGTGTCCACCTCTTCGACGGCAGATATTATTTGGCCTAAAACATGGCTTTCCTTGATATCGAATCTATGCATTCATCCTTTTGTGCACTCGAGTCAAATGTAATTGAATCCCTCTTGGACTCTGCTGGATTATTTACAGTAGGTCGTGCTCAACTCTGCCCAAGCTCCATGAAAATGTTTAGACTAGGAATCAGCTTATCGAGATAACACAAGACAGCTTAACCAGCTTCCTCTTTAAGACATCCAATCAGACGGGTTACTAACAGGAATACAGGATTGTGGAGGTCTAGGTCCTTAGGAAGGACAGACCACTACAGTGTGAATAACAAAGGCCCAATTCTACATATCTAGAGACAAGGGGAAGACTGCAACAACCGGTCAACCAGGCATTAAATAATGGAGTAACAAAGGCATATGATGGCGTACGTGTTGTGCATTTTGAAATAGATGCTATGTCCCTTTTTTGCACTACTTCTGAACAATATGCCTAAGTAGAACACAATAAGAAAAGAGATCTAGATCAGGTAGTCCAGAGAGAATTGCGGAAGTAGCAAACACTAAAATAGAGAGCAAAAAAGACAAATGAAAATTTAACCAGTCAGAAGTAGAGCTTGCAATCCTGAGGAGCGTTGATGGAAGTACCTGGTTTTTGCTTTTCTCTATCCCAGTACTCCCTGCCCCTGCTGTCATATTAATAGCAGGCCCTAGGTTACTTTTTGCCACTTTGGCCTACAAGCCAGCGGACAGGTTTGATGTTGATAGCTAAAGGAAGTGTCAAAGCTAATATGTTTGCTCATATCAAACACATTTTGCCACCACAACCCCGATCCAAAGAAGAAAAATACCTATAAATGTACTTTACAAAAATATGCGTTTCGAAGATAATATTCCTGATTATGCCTTGTACATTTGTTGTATCGGTTTATTTAAAAATTAGTTGTTTCTCCTGTAATTTCTATTAACGGGTGAAAATTCATGCATGTGCATTTAACTTCCAAATCAGTGTGTAATGGGTGCCATTTCATGTGTGTAACTATCAGTGGGTTCTGATTTGCTTTGCCATTTCATGTGTTTAACTATCAGTGGATTCTGATTTGCTTTACAATTTTTTTTATTTGCTTTACAATTTTTTTTATTTGCTTTACAATTAGAGAACAAGAACGAGCGTGTTGTATGCGTGAGAAATTTGAGTCAAGACGAAGTACTTGAAGCAGCGACCAAGCTAAGGAATTCGCTTGGCAGAAAGGTGGTGAAGATGAAGACTCGACATGTTACAAAACAACCAAGTGTTCAAGGTACATGGTCAACAGCATTGAAGTTATAAGCCTACAGAAAAAATTCAATGTTAGTGTTTTTGACTTCCTAGGTTTTATAATTTGGATTCTTATGTCAGAGGTGTGGTCTTCTGGACAAACAAGATAGGGATTATATGGTCTACATGTAGTAAGAAGGTAGACTTTTTCAATGTGATGCACTTCATAATGTAATAATTTACTCATCATGCTGCTGGAATAGTGGGAATGTAGTGCATGTGTTTGGTCATACATACAATGACCCTGATTTGCTTTTCTTCATTGTTTTTCCAGTTTCTTAATCGCCAGGATTATTGAGGAGCTTTTAGCTTCTTTTCAGATCATTGTCGTTGGCTGGTGTAGTAGGGAGATTTTAATCTCCACATAATATTCAGCATTTTGGCTGTGATTATTGTTTTCCTCATAAATAATACTTGGATTAGAGTCAGTAAGATAGCGTTTGCGCGGTTTCTTGCAAAACTTTTTTGGTGTGTAGAAGGCATTGTTTCAGAAATTGTTGATTTTCAATGGTCATTTCTTGACCTCTTAACGTCAATTTGTGAGTGAAAAAAAACAGCTCCAATGGTGGTTTGCATCCACTAGTCATTTTTGGGTTTGCATGGTATTTTACAAAGGGAGATTTGCATAGAAGTATAACCCAACACACTACATTGCATCTATTTAGCTATATTTTTAAGTTAATCCATTATCTTTTTGTAACAGTGTTTATACATTTGATATACAACATTATACACTTATTATAATGTTGCATATTGTCTTATAGCAAAGTTTGGTTTCGCACCAAGGAACTTGAACCGATGAAAACATCATCAAATAGCTCAAATTTTTATTGAATAGTTTCAAAGTTTAACCACAACTTTCAAATGACATTGCTAACAAACTCCAATCATAAATTTATCAGAAGTTTCAACAAGTCACAAAACTCATTTTTGAGTTTGTTGAACTTTAAAAAACTCTAACGATGGAGTTTTTTATTTTTCACTTTAATTCATCCAACAATGTTAAAAACTTTAAATTGTTGGGATATATACTATTAACCATGAATTTTGGTTCGGATATAGTATTTCTTATGGAACAATTGTTTATTCAATTTTAATAAAGTTTTAAATAGATCATATAATCGTTTGTGTCCTTTACTTATATAGTAGATGGTTTTGTGTATAGAGTTTAGCTTATACATGGAAGATTAAATCATCGGTTCTTATAAATATAAAGATCATGTTTACAATCTAATGATGGAATTGGACTAATTGATGATAGGCTATAATTAAGTATTTTAGTCGATTATTACATTCCAATTCACTGCACTTCAGTTGAGTTTGCACTTTAATCGCTAGTGTTTTGTGCTAATTGTGTGTTTTATGCCGGGTAGGAGTGATTTCGAGCTATGTAGATGTTATGGAATGAATTAAAGTGATTTGAAGCTTTGAAATCTGAGTACAAGCCCAAGGAATTAAGCCGGGATCGTGTTCGGGGATCAACGGATGATAGTTAAGTACGAACGAAAAACCGAGTAGGTATATTGCGCACTGTCTAGTAAAATGCACATAACTTTTCGCTCAGAACTCCATTTGAGCTCAACAATATATGGTTGGAAAGCTAATTCAAAAAGATACAACTGTCTTGTTTTACATTTTTCCAAATTCCAAACAGAACAGGGTGAAACATGCGCGACAAGTGCGCGGCCGCGGATGTGAGGCAGAAACTAGGTAAAATCCGCGGCAAAATCCGCGGCCGCGGACGTTCTGTCCGGGAAAACTGTCTTTTTTCGCGTAGGAGAAGGTATAGTTGTTTGGGCCCGACCGTACATGGTATATATACATAGAAAACGTTATGTTTGGGACTTTTGACACAGATTCGACCTAAGGAGGCAAGAACACACTAGGAGCAAGGCGGAGAATTCATCTACGAGTTTTTTTCACTTCCTTCTTCCTATTTTCATTATTGGTTATGACTTTTAGTATTAGTTTTACATAATATTATGAATAGCTAATTTGTTACCTACGTTTTTGATAGAACCTCTTGGAGGATGAATTCTTGTTATGTTTTAATATAATTTAACCTTTGAATTTGTCTATTTGTTCAACTACGTGCTTATTTCAGTTGATTGAATGGCCATCGGTTGACTGTGCCTATTTATTATGTGTTGCTTGAGAAAGGATACATAATTAGGTGGTTGTTGCACAATGTCACTCCTAACGTATATGAGAAATCAATACAGCGGGTTTAAAGGTAGGTTTAGAAATAACAAAGCCTTGATGTGGTCATAATGAGCGGTTAGATAAAGCCAGCTAGCGTAGTTCGAGAGAATATGTCTAGTGAATTGTTGTAGTTTCTCGAGAGAGAATTACGTCACCTAAAGTGCTCACGATCGGTAGAGAATACATAGGCGAAATTGTAGGGAACATAGCCGGAAGGATTCCAACATTTGGGAAAATCATAACTCTAGACCTCCTTAATTTAGTCTCCAACTCTTTGTCTCGTTAGTTGATAATTTTACCGCTTTCTAGTATTTGCTAGTTAATTAGTTAGAAATAGAAATCTCAATCTTTATAATTTAGAAAATTGTTCAAACTTGTCTTCTTAGTGATATCAAACAGATATAGCTAAACCTTAGTTCTCTGTGGGATTCGACTTCGGACTTTTAGACCGAATTATATTTGCAGCGACCGGTTATCCTTTTTAGGACTAGAGTTGGACGTGATCAAATTTTTGCGTCGTTGCCGGGGAACTAACGTTGTAGTTGTAGCTGTATATATTGCTAGATTTCGAGTTTGAACTTTTATTTCGTTTTGTTTTTTGTATTTTTTTTTTATTTTATTTTATTATAACTGTTGATTTGAGAAACATGACATCTTGAAATTATGGGAATTTAGGTATAGATAATTCTACTATTGATCCTCATACATATTGTGAAGGAAACCACCCGTATCAAAATTATCAAAGTATTCCCGAGAGCGAGTTATGTGCACCAACTCAATCTTATTTGTGGAGTGTGTGTGATGTGTGTGGTGGTAAAAATAGTCACTTTTATGGTTTTGCTTATATTTCTTATCTTCCCAAACCCCTTACTATGATGCTTCTACCTTTTCTTGTGAAGTTAACAAGAATAAAGAACCTAGGGATGCAGACCTGAAGGAGATCAAGGATATGTTAAAGTGCCTTCTAGAACAAAATAATGAAAAATAATTGCTGAAAGAGGCAAGAGGCAACTATTTGCAACTTGGAGGCTCAAGTGAGCCAAGTAGTTGAAGCTTTTAATGCTCAGCAAGCCAATTTTGGGGATAGGAGCCAAGAAGGGCATGAATTTGAGGTGCTAATTGAGGAGGTCAGAGTAGAACATCAACAACCTAGCCAACTACAATTTTAGGATGTCGATGTTGAAGAAGTGAGACTAGAGTCAGCCAAGGACATTGAGGATATAAATTTTGTTCACTCTAGTATTATTGATGTTGAGGAAGTTGAAAGTCCTGAAGTTCATGTATTTGTGTGCATTGGGCCTCAATCCAAATATTCTTCTACATTGTGCTTGGATGACGATATGGAAATAGAGTCATCCGAGCCGATTGAGAAGTCAAGGAATGAGGAACAAGGTGCCTACATTCTGGAATTTTTCTTGCCAGAAAGACGAGACTACACACCTCATCTAAAAGCCAAGAAGTGTAGAATAGTACAATGGTTGCTTGGGCCAATTAGATTTGTTCCTCCACCCCTGGAGCATAGCCGAAAACTTGATGCCAAATTGGGGGTTCAATTCATAAGCTCGAGGTGGAGGCAAAAAGTGATTCGCGTCATGTCGCGACGTTAAATCAAGCGCTTGTTGGGAGGCAACCCAGCTTTACTGCTTTATTTTATTTTATTTTTTTTAATTGCATTATTTTTGTAGTGTCAATTTTTGATTTTCTAGGAGCACGGAAAGTAAAGCTATTGGAAGGATGCAACAGCAAACCAGATGGTTGGAACTAAGTGTGCGGTACCCGCACGAAGGACCAAGCCTAGGAGAAGTCTGAGTACCCCATGAGCTGCTAGTGCTTCAGCCTTTGGCCTACCAGGGAGTTTCATTTACCCTCTTATAGTTACGATGTGCATTGATGATAATGCACAATTTTAAGTTTGTGGTGAGGAGATTGTCTGGGTGAGTTTCTATGCTACTTTAGCTGTGTTAGTTTAATTGAATAATATTTTATTAAAAAAAAGATTGGACCCGACGATGGATCTAATAGACAATTTTCTTGAGGGATTTAAGTCTAAAGAAAAAGACAAAAAGATTTTCTTTTGTTAGGTAGTGTAGCAATTACCCCTTGGTTTTTCTTTGTGCCGCGGTTCTTTCCAAGGGTTTTGTTTGAAACAGGTGTAGTTAGTTTCTTTTTTACTTTTTTTAGGAATATGAGCCATTGTGGTGTTTTGAATTGAAGCAATATTTCTTGACTTTGTTATGCCTTGAGAATAGTGAGTACTTTTGTTGTGACGCTTAGGCTCAGTTTTTGACTCTTGTATAAGTACCTTAAATTGTATGATTTTAAATTTGCTTAACTGCTTTGACTAGAGTGTCTTGATAAAATCAATCTTGAGTGAGTTATGTGCCATGTGTGTGAGGTTTGTGTGTTATTCTGTGCATTACATTTGATGCCTAAAACTTGCCCCGTGTATTTACAAAGCGAAATAGTAGTTTTGTTCAGTCTTGGAAGTGATATAGGCATTTCTTTGTTGAGCCAGATATGTATATATTACCCGCCCAATTATTATGTATCGTAGTTAAGCCTTTTGAGCCTATAAACCTGTTTCTTTGGCAATCACAAGCCTTACCCATTTGTTTGAATTAACCATCTATTTGAACCTTTTAACCTCTCATGAGCACTTCAATAGTTATGAACTTTGTAAAAGTTAAAGTGTGGGGTGGTTGGTTTGGCTTTTGAGTGGAACTAATGAAATAAGAAGAAAGGTGCACTGTTTTAAAAAAGTAAGAGCCACTTGAATTGAAAAAAAAATATAGTTGTATTGTTGTGAAAAATATTCATTGATAGTGGTTAATCTTGATGTAATTGTGCTTAAAGAAGTATGGGGTAATATACATTGATGTGAAGGTGAAGTTTTGGTTTGACATAAGCATGAGCTTGTATGTTAAAGTATATGTATTAAAGTGCTTGAGTTGGTATAGTCACTCTTATATCCAAATGTTCTTACTCGTCCCGCAGCCTACGTTACAACCGAATAAAGTCCTACTTGATCCTAGATTGAATGAGCTCGATTAGTAGGGTAGTATAATACGGGCAAGACTATGGTGCATCTTTTGTGGCATATGAATGTTATTTCTGAGAGTGAG